GCTGTGGAGTCGGAGTCGAGGAGTCGGAGGAAATTTCGGCTTGTAGGAGTCGGAGTCGGTAAAATTGTCCAGACTCCGACTCCGACTGAAGCTATTCTGTTCCTAAGAACAAATATATGAACTCAGGCATATTCATTGCAGTGATTCCACTGATCCCACTAATTTTCTTAAATTATTAAAAGAATTTATTTCCATTTTATAAGCATTATTATGAATTTATTGTAGCAGGCACAGTATAGCACTATAATTTTGGACAATTGTCTCTTGTTTACCATTTGAAATTTTGAATTATATCAAATTTTGTTTCGTTGAAAACTGCACAGAGGCTCTCAGCTACAAAACAATTAGCTACAACCTGTTTTTGGTGAGATTAAGGCAAATTTAATTTAATAACTTAATCATGTAAGGTTTATCCATTTTCCTTAATAAGGTATTCATTTCTTTAATGTACATAAATATATAACTTTACTTTAAAAGGAATTGTAGGATCATCATTTAGATCCACATCAGATTATGAGCTTAAACAAAATTCATATGCTGAGATCGAACTTTTAGATATACATGTAAATGGTGTTTTCTAGTTAATATCTTGAATTCTTAATAAATTTATTTTTCTTTTGATTGAAACTTTGAAAGTCAAGCCTATCATCTTTTTGTAGTTCTTAAATATCGTCCAGATCATTAATAAAGCTGTAGCAGTATAGCCACGGTGTTTTACTTTTTACCTATGCAGGTTACAACATACAAATTACAATTAGGATGGTAGAAATAGTTGTTACAAATAGGCCAAGGAGTCGGAGTCGGAGTCGGAAGCATAAAAATTTGAGGAGTCGGAGTCGAAGGTTTTGTCTTCGACTCCACAGCCCTGATTTATTTTTCATTCACCTTAAACACACCCAAACAGTGACTCCTCAAGACTCGGGACAACATCAAAATGTCAATTATAAGCAAAGTTTTAAAAGACCATGGACCTTATTATGTGTTTGTACTGTAAAGTCACAGGGAATTATATATTCAACTTGTTATACCAGTATTTTTTATGACACAACACAATTCTTTTAATCTAAATGAAAGCCAAAACATATTACTATGTAAGACAATCTGTGAAAACAACCAAACAAATAAATTAGCTGAAAAAGATATATCTGTACACATGTTTAATCATGCATTTACTGTATTAAGTACTGTTCACTAATGCTGCCTTAACATTCACACAAAACTGGACCATGAAGTCACCAACAGATTCTCGACATTCAGTAATTAATCTTTCTTAATCTAAAAGCAGTCTTCATCTTAGTTATAGCATGAAAGTTCTGGTCCTACACAATTTATTTCCTATATTTGTAATAAAGTTATGGCAAAGTAGAAAAATTATACATAGAAATTATATACGTACTGTATTACACTAATCAATATGTTTTCCCGTTGTTATGGACTCAAAAATGTTGATATGAAGACACTGCTGTCAAGGTTGAGTGTTGCATGCCACCACTTGTCCGGAAAATAGATGATCTGTGAATATATAACAGGATGTTAATATCGGTATCCACCATGAGGAAACCTGTACGGTAGCTACTTCAGCAATCTGAATTACCAAAATCTCACAACTTTCAGAATAGTTTTAAGGAGTTGTACAGAAATTAAACACTCTCATGTAGGTAATGCAAGTGTTGTATACAGGAAGCACATACGGTAGAGGCAGGTGCGTTCTAGTGATGTTTTGAGGCATTTTCAAAGCCGTATTTTCTTTATTTTTTTAGTTAACTTTTTGTTGAATGAAAACTGATAATTGTCACAAATGACCCGAACACGTAACCCAACATTCTGGTAACAAATGATCTGCTTAAATTTAACATTATTCACTGATATAAGACAAGAGTAATTTCATACCTTTATTGTAATAAATAATCTCTTGTAACTACTGAGTGACTTCAATCCAATTTCAACATTAAAGGAAAGCATTAATAGTGGCATTCCAAATACTGTATTGGGTACAGTACCATAAAGCAGTAAGAGCACATACAGTACCTCTCCTGGCAGCAGCGTACACTCATAAAGGTTTGGGTCATCCTTCATCTTTGGGTAGTCTTCTATCAGCCACTGTAAAGTTGTCCGGTTAGGATGAAAATTGGGATTCACATCAGGAGGGTACATGAACCACCGCTTGCGTCCCCATCTGAGGAAGTGGTACGACGAAATGCTGTTTATGAGGTTCATGTTCACCTCGTCATATATTTCAAAGGGTCATTTGCATTCAATATCTATGTAAACAAAAGAACATATATGAAAATACAATGAAATACTGGATACAGTTCTTATTTATCTCTGAACATGTATTCTACAAAGCCTTATTTTGACAATATACAGCACTGTAGATCTTATATCAAGCGGGACAAGAGAGACAGAGATACTTAAGCTAGGAAGGAAGCATCACAGACATACAGGACAGAAAAAAGGAAGCTCAAACTCAACATTATGACAAGACATAAACTATGACACACAAGTGGTTAATACGATGTTAAAAGTTAAAATAAATAAATGCTTTTTCCTTTTAAAATAATTAATATCATAAATCTCAGTACAATACAGTTCATGAGGAAAAAATAACAATGTCTTTCTTCATACATCTCACAAACTATTGAAAGTGAGAGAAGCATATAAGTATTATGGTTAAACATGAAGTGTAATATGGCCTCTTATTAAAGTTCTCAGAGGATGATAAGCTGGGGTATGATACTGAAAGTCTATGAGAAGAATCAACACATGCCATCTGTTGTAAGTGTGGGATTGCTTATCATGTTCTGAGAGAGAGAGAGAGAGAGAGAGAGAGAGAGAGAGAGAGAGCTAACTAGCCTTGTTTTGGATGGGGGACACCTGAAGAGAATGCATTAGGTCAGGCAGTTGTATTGAATGAGAGAACCTATGGTACCCCTGATGCTGTATACTTACATGGTTTCAGCAAAGCCCGGGCCATGAAAGTGGAAAGGAACACCTGTGCCTGGTCCTTCAATTATAAAAAATATAATTAACTGTAAATTCTTAATAATAAAAAATAAATATTTGCAGTACATGTATACACATAACTCCAAGGTGAATGCATATACATAGTGTATACTGTCTTAATGACTACGATAACAGTCTTTAATGTATATTAACCACTCTAAATCAAACCTAATATAACTTAATCTAACTTCCCAGGTAGCATTAGGACATTTAATCATCAGGGGAAATAAGCTGGGGGGTGATAATCTTCAGGTAATCTCATCAGAGAAATAAACACATCAATGGAAAACTAAACTAACCTGCTAGTCCAAAGCTGAGGGCAGGTAGGTGGTAAGGCAGGTAGTATGGTGGGTGCTGGTAAAGGTCAAGTATGTCCTGCCATTCATCACCATTGTTGTCACCAAAGAAGTAAAATGTTTCTGGAATACATGGAATACAGTATATCAGTGAAGGAAGAAAGTGTCTAATCTATTGGGCATTTTCTATATTTAGTAAAATTATTGAGAACTATCACATCTGCTGACCTGGGTAAATAGGGAAACAAGGTGTGTTTACTGCTTGTCGTGCACAAGTACAGACATGAACTAATCCAAGTGAACCTTAGTTCTGTGTAATCTTTTTGTTACGTTTCTTCATTTCATCTGCCATCAGAAGTAATGAGGCGTCTATCCACAAAATGTACACAATCAAACAGTCCAGCTAGTTTAAGCATTTCTCGGTAAATTTAATGAAATATCAAATATACCAAATACAGTACAGAGGAAACTACACTACCACTCATACAAAATTTTTAACTGTTTATTGATTAGTAAGAAGTTATTTTTGTCAATCTTAATAAGCAGAAATCACTGTACATAAGAACTACCAAAATATTCGATGAAGATTATAATAATGTCCCTTGTTCATAAGAAACAACGCTACCACAACACAAGTGAACCACACAACCATCAACTTCCTGCTCACCATTGCCAAGAGTTGTGAGTTGTTGTGGGTGCAGGTGGTGATCACAGTAATCCCTGAATGATATGTCTCTCTTAGCATAACTGTAACTGTTGGCAGAACTCAGACGAATAGTCATGTGGCCGTATCTCTCCAGTAAGGCAGTGTGCCGAGTACGTGACTGGAAAAGCTGTGGGTGGAGATGTGCAACTTTTAATCACCCAAACTGACATGATCAATCTTTCTTGTGTTCTTGTCTTAGCTATTTTCCTCACTATAACTCCCCATCACTCACTATAACTCCCATCACTCACTGTAACTCCCCATCACTCACTGTAGCTCCCCACCATTTCTTGGTTTCTTTACCCCTTAATCCACCTCACACAAGGGTGGGAGAAGAGGAAATAATAAATTCACAAGGATAGATTTATAGCTAAAATATAATATATACTCACCTGATTGTGTGATGCCCCCTTGATCACCACTGGCTCACTGTATGCATACCTGTGTGATCATTGAGTGAAAATAACAACAAATTAACTACAGTACTGATTAGCTACAACAAAAACCATAAATTCACTATAGCAAAATAAATCACAGGTACATTAGTATTATCTGATAAATGAACAAGTATCCTTAAAGCCCCCTTGGTTCCATCTGGTCCCACACATGATAATTACTCACTTCAATTAGTCAAGCAAGGAAAGTATAATAGTGTATAATATTACCTCTCTAAAAACTCCTCCTGTGTGAGTGATCCATCCTGCACCACAATGTTACATGGTCCAAGTTGGGCTATTCTGTCCTTGCCTCTTGTCATCCTGTTATAAAAATACATTAAATGGTCTTTTAAGCCTAATAAAAACAAGAGGATACTATTTATCAACTGATCAACCTATTCAAAAGCTCAAACTCTAAATGGCTTTTTTTATGAGAATTTGTTACACATTCAATTGTTTCAGGACATTAAACAGCTTCTTCTTGCTACAGATTTTTCTATTTACATATATAGTACAGTAATAATTCCAGAAATGGTTGATGACAACTACAAAAACAAGCATTTAAAGGGATTCATACAAGGTAACATTTTCTATAGTGTTTCCTGCAGAGTTTGTGCTGTACTATACCCCCATCCTTATCACTGCACCACACATTAGTACTATATATAACACCCATCGTCTCCACCTTGTCGTGTCTTATGGGTTGGAGCTTCTGTTCAGGCCTCGTACTAAGCCTAACCTATCCTGAGAAAAATTGGGTAGGAAGCCTGGTTTTTCTTTTTCACCATATTTTAGAATTAGTTAGACTACAGTGTTGTACAGTATTGTTCGATTTCGTTCATTTTTTCCACAATTGTTCTTTGGATGACAGTAAGTAATAAAAATGATATGATGAAGCACAAAACCTAAGTGAACCTGCCCTAACCTACCTAACCTTACCTAACTTCCTAGCCAGTGGGCAAAGTTAAGGAGAAAGAATTGCCACTTCAAGAAAGAAATGACATGGTGTAATTTTACTTTTTTTGTAGATGTAAGAGTAAGCCCAGACCAGGCTGCTCGATTGTAGCACTGAAACAACAAAGAGCGAACGACAGTACTTGCTGACACAGCAGATTTTCTGACGGAATATTTACAATAAATAATTAACTTCTTTGAATACAAAACACATAGAGACATCATTTTATTGGCATGGTAAGTTTTATGTCGTATCACTTTTATTACTATCATCCAAAGAACATCTGAGGAAATAGAACAAATCCTTCTGGTCTCTGCTCCACTATTACCAAAAAAATGTTCAGTCATGAGGTGCCCCTGTTTTACAGCTTTACCTTCCCTCTTTTCCTGTCATATCCATTTAGTAATACAGGTACTGTGCATTATTCTTTCATATACTTTACCACTTTGATGGGGAAAGGATGCTGGTGGCTTGAGAGTAATGTTGGTTAGATATTGTTTGTGCCAACACAAACTTGTCAGTCAAGATCCCAATAAAAATATCAAGAAATGAAGTAGCACAATAAGTAAAATTTAAGTTTCGGTCATCCCTTTATTTACTGTAGATATTCAAACTAAACTAAACCAAACTAATCTAATCTAACATAACCTAACCAATCTAACCTAACTAAAATAATACAGCACAGTATCCTAAAACTCAAGCTGTAATTGTGTTTGCTAATAAATGAGCATATACTGTATCTGTATTTTGTCTCATTCTGAAATAAAAATTACTACAATTCAGTACGTATTCAAGCCTAATGACCCAATAAAGAGAATACTGTTCAGTATTACCGCAGAGAAGTAATGTAAATCAAGATGTAGTGTACAGTACTGTACTGTACAATATTAAGATCCCCGAGTTTTTGTTGTAATTGCACCAGCTTTTACAAATTTGTACAAATTATTGTCACAGGAATGACATATAACATAAGAACATATGAAAATAAGGAGTCTGCAATAGGCCGGTTGGCCTGTGAATGGCAGCTCCTGTCGAGAGTTACTACCACTCTCTATCATCCATGAATCTATCTAGCCTCCTTTTGAAACTATCCAGCGTTCCAGCACTTACTACAAAGTTGCTAAGCTTGTTCCACTCGTCCACCACCCTATTTGTGAACCAGTTCCTTCCTATCTCCCTCCTAAACCTAAACTTATCCAACTTTAATCCGTTGTTCCGAGTCCTATTCTGCTCGGATATTATAAAAGTTTATCTATATCCCCTTTATTGATTCCTTTCACTCACTTAAATACTTCTATCATATCTCCCCGCACTCTTCGTCTTTCTAGGGAATGCAAGTTTAGTTTCTTTAACCTATCCTGATATGGAAGGTTTCTAAGTCCCGGAATCATTTTCGTGAACATTAACTCACCATCCTCCGTCATCTTGTTGGGTTGCAGGTAGCAAAACGCACAGCTGCAACAACACAATGATATCTGTCTTCCTCATGTTGATTAGCTCCTACAGCCTCGCTAACAGTCAGAGGCTTCAGCATCAGTGGTACATACTACACAGCTGCAGCAGATACAGTATTATCACACACAAACATCCGCCACAGTCCACACGTGCTGACACCACAACATGGTGTCACCTGATTGGTGCACCGCTGCCCACCACAGTGCACACACCTCCTGCTGTGGTGACGCAACACTTTGTTTACCCACATCTTGGGCTAATTCTTGCTGTAAGGCAGAGTAGCTAGAGACTGTCAGTGAAGAAGAGTGGTGCCAACGGTATCTGCTCACTTTACACTTCATCGTAAGGAGGAATGAAAAAGGAAATATATTAATTTTTGTTAATTTTATTGGTAGATTTAGTAAGAAGGGTTCAACTGGTGGTTGAACCAGGTCGGGTCCTGCCGGGGGCTAGTACAAGATGGTCTGGATGGCTCCGGCTTCCACACCGTAATTGACGAAAACGTCGGAGCCATCAGTGATGGACACCTTTATCTCGGCGTCATCTGGAACCAAAAACCAATAGAGTTTCTCACTGTTGTGTCACTGTTTCAATTCTGGTAAAGGACTTTTATGTGTTGAACCATAGCGGCTATTATTCTAAAGAGCTAATATTAGTTTCCGATGTACTGCTCACGTTAGTTCTGGTCTCTACTATCTCTTATGATATATATTACAGCTACATAGCAAAGAAAATAATATCTAACGAGCCGATCAGTGGCGAGGAGAATAAAAGAAGAGTATAACTCTAAGATTGTATCTTCGTTTTCTGTGGTGTAGCGTCACAGAGAATGGTAGATGCTTCGAAAGGGTGACTCCTATACTGCATGATTTTGTGTAGGAATTAAACCAGTGTCAGTGCATATAATTTTAAGTCTGTCATAGAAGAAAATGTCTAAAAATTACTAAATACATATAAATAACAGCGAGAGAAGGACCGGTGTTTTACTATAAATTCACCGATAGTACAAGTATTTACGACTTATACCTTACATTTTTTACCAAAATATACTTTTTCTCAGAATTGAAATTTAGGGCGTTTAACTAATTAAGTACTTTCAGAATAACACACAAACCTTAAATCACACCTTTGAAACCCATAGTTGATGAGTAATTAGCATTGAAAAATGTCAGTAAAATCTTTCAAGGGTTATTTTGGCCACTAATTACTCTGCAATCGAATCGTGGACCACATATTCATAATCAGCAAGCTCAGTTGTAGCCATACTGTAATTTTCAGTAAAATCTAATTTTTGGCCCAAATCCACCAAAAATGTAATTCTTACAATTTTACAGGGTAGGTAGAGACCAAGGAATGCCCCAAAAGACTAGGGCCAGCCCTGTGTCAAGGTCTTCACCTCCAGCAAACACATTTGGTTACAGCCATCAGTAGGTTGTCAATAGTTCTTGATGACAGCTCTACGACTGCCTGTCATGGAGGTTTTAATCTTTCTATTCACGACAATACAGGTAGCGTGTCGGTAATGTTAATTACCTGGTATATTTGGTATTAACTCAGCCAAGAATTATTCTTATATCACCCACACTGCCACATGCTTATACTTGATGAAGTGTTCCTGGGCTTCTTCAGGTAAACTGACCACATTAAGACCTGTGGAGTCGGTGAAGGCGCCGTCGAAGCCTAGGATGATCTGATACTCGTCCTATGGGTTGATGGTCACCACCACAGCGTCTGGAGATAACATGTGTTGACTGAGCATGTGTTGCTTGTTGTAGGTTATTGGTGTGTATTAAAAAAAGCTGCTGCTGCCTTAGAGGCTTCGAGTCTGTGTTAAAGTAATGTTATACAAGACGATAGTTGCGAGAAACACAGTAGGAGAGTTGTGAGAGAAAAGTCCATTTGATCACTCCTCCTTCACAGACTGTCACTTGTACACAACTGTTTACAACAGGACCGCTGACTCCTTCAGCCTCGAGAGGGTTTACCTCCGTTAATCACCAGGGATCTCCTTGTTGGAGACGGGGAACTCTTCCACGTTGAACCTGAGGCCGTCCTTGGTGGAGGTGACGAGGGTGAACTTCCCTTTCTCAGGGAAGGTGATAATGCCCGGGTTGTCACAGTAGGAGGCGTCACACACACACCACGCTGTCATAGTCATACACCTGGGGGTGTATATACCATCACATTACTTACATGATAAAGTTACTTTAATATCACCAACTTAGAAAATTAAATGCTGTTATCATACAATCAAGTTGTGGGGTATGAGATGTTTGGTTCACACTCAGGATGGGTTGGAGAAAGGAAACTCACAATGTGCTCTCTTAATACATGTTGTATTGGATGTACAATGCAGCTTGGTGCTGGGAAGGCAGCATGGTTACAAGCTTGATGTAGAGAGAGCTGGTTGGTGAGGATGCTCAGAGGAGGACCAGCTTGTGGGTCGCCATGCTCGCTGGCGGGAGCGAGGACCGCCAGGCAGGCGGAGGAGGAGCGAGGGCCGCCAGGCAGCGGCGGAGGAGGTGTGTTGCTTGCTGTTGGTGGAGGTAGAAAAGAGGCAGGTCACCACAAGGTCAGGTCTTAAATAGCGGGGGTAGGCGTGGCATAGTAGTTGATCCCCGCTCCGTGATGTATGGTGGTGCTGGTTGACCTAGACCACGAGGCATACACTGGGGAATTGGTGGGGTCGGCTACTCAGCGACAAACAGCTTTTGTAGGGGAGAATTCCACTACAACCTTCTACCTATCCCTAACATGTCTCTCTATCATGTAGGTCTCTCATCTCTCTCTAGCATGTAGGTCTCTCATCTCTCACTATCACGCCAGAGAGAACAAACCCAGTCTCTCAAATAAGGAGACAATTTAACTTAAGACCGTTTGAGAATCTTATATTTACGTAAGATATTTAGATAAGTTCTCATAATTCACCCTGACGAACATTTAAAGAATTCTCAACACTCTTGGCGCAATATTTTACTGCTCAGTTGAGAGAAAAAAAATTAACTTAGGAACTTTTAAAAATCACATAAATTTACCCTAACTTAAGATTTTTTTTATAAAGGAATTCTGAACGTGATATGTTAAGACAAATTCCTACGACATTATTGCCATCTTGGAACGATCTCTTATGCCAAATTGTTATAAATGGTTTCAAAGTTAAACGATTAATTTATTAGCACAAAACTTCAATATAAACGATGTGGTTTAGAGTTAAACGATTTAGTGAGTAAAAAGTGAGTCAAGTTTTAACAAATTTCAAATGTCAAACAAAATTATGATTAATAAGATAAATAAAATAGCACATTTTGTATGTACAAAATGTATCACCTTCCACATTTGTACCATCATGATACAGTTCAGCCACCCAGTTGACTGTGTGTATGCCGTGACATCACATCAGAGGAAGGGAGCGTGGCAAGCAAACAACACAGTTACAGCCCACTGCCTCCATTTATATTTTATATTATATTTTCTTTATTTCTAAGCCACATTAGAGTACTGATCTTTCTACAACTGTTATAATTTCATTATATGTCTTTGGAGCGGAACTTCCCACCTTAGACCAATATGCCGCAGGGTGATTTTAAGGAAAAAATGCGTCTTATGGGCCAGGAAAAACGGTGTATCTGTCCGTGGTATTACCCTTCTAAAATGTTTAACTGTTAAATTTACAACTGTTTTCCTATAACCACCAGTGAATAAAAGGTATCCCAAGTAAAGTTGTCAGATATTGGGTGAGGTTTATGAAAACACTTATTTACTGAATTTTTTATTTAGTAACGGGATAGCCCGGCGTCCTGCAATAAATAAAACTAATGAGAAAAATTACAACTCAAGACTCTGAAGTAAAGATATAAATTAATTATGTCAATAAAACTGTAGAGCAAGTGTCTACAGAATGAAACACAGCAGAGGTCATATTAACACTTATGTACCACACTTAATCTAGCAGTTATTAACATATAGCGAACCATAATGGGGGTTAGAATAATCAGGTTAACTGCCCACTGCACTACCCACACTGGATACTCTGCTTGAAACTAAGAAGAAACAACTATCCACTTGTTGGCCATCTCCTACTAGTGTAAAGTGGCCACAACCAACAGCCATTACCTCATTAAGCCAATTATTCTTTTTCCCCTTCAAGCAATTATAACCCAAGTGAGCGAATCAGTAATATAAATATGAGTTATCACCAGACTCATCCTTCATAAATACACCAAGTAAGAGAACTCATAATAGAAGTTTCATACCTGATGTACAGGAAGTGATTTTATTCTTCTATAACCTGGGGTGAGAATAATGGAACTCTAAAACCCATAAATTAAAAGAATTAATAAAAGTTCATAACCTGTAAGAGTTATTCACCTTAACTCAGGTTTAAGACCAATACAAACATCCTATCCCACAACAAACACCATAAAATATAAGATTATTCCTGGCAGCTTTTATATTTTCACAATTATATTCAACAAACACTACATAAAAAAAAGACAATTTACCAAAACTTTTAACAATTTCAAGAAAAATATAGTTTCCCTGTTGACTCTCCTCCCACAAGGCTGAGATGGATCAAGATGAAAAGAAGCTTAAAAGAGAGAGACTGAGAGAGAGAGAGAGAGAGAGGTGTAAGGAGGGTAGTTGGGGGGAGGACAAAAGGAAACAAAGAATAGTTACATTCTTCACACACTTGCTCTCATCACCTTTAAACTTAATATATATTATTTACTTTTATCAACAACAACAGCTGCCTGTATGGCCTCTACAGCTCAACAAAAGAACATGAAACACCCAAGAGGATACATGTGGATAAAGTGACAGTGTTTTCATACCCTTCTTGAGGTTCAATAAAAGTATTCACCAAGTGTAACCTGAGAAGTAAATAATAAGAAAACAATGTTAACTGTACATCCATAACCACATGTAAACCTTAGCATGTACACAGAAAAACATCGCCAGAAACAGACTGAAGTTTGAGAAAAATTAATTACCTAATATTTTTTCATTTAGTTGGGGCGTGGCCGCGTGTCCTGCAATAAAGAGAAGAAATTAGACATGTTGTAATTGAAAACTTTTAAGTAAGGTATATTTTCTTGACAGCTGTGGGGTAAGAGTATGTACATAAAGAAAGATAAGGACACGTCAGTCCAGTTTACTTCACCCCGTTTGATTTGGTAGTTATTGATATATGACAAACCATGGTGAGGTTAGCATAAGGTTAACTGCCCATTACATATAGTACATCATGACTCAGACTAGAAACTAACACACTGATATATTCACACTTGTTGGCCTTGCCTGCTTCAGTACAAGGTGGCCAGAGTAAAACTTCAGACTCATCTGGTGTACAGTACAGTATAGTCATGAAGCAAATACAGGCCTATTTTTTTAGGATTTAATCTCAAATGCTCAACAATGATGATATGGCTCAGCCTTTTCTGTTCTTCATTCAAATCATTAGACCCTAGAACATAAACCGTCTTAATTCATGATGTAAAAACTCATTTTTCTTATTCTGTTAAATTCACAAGAGTAAAACAACTCAAACCAAGTACATTATTCTCAGTGAGTGACTCATGTTTATATTAGAACAAAATATAATGTAAATGTTCAAAATCAGCCCCATGATACCCAAGCTCCCTTTTGTTATTATATCGCTTGACATTTTATAGTATCAATATTTCACATACAGAGACAACACTGTTAATACCTCATATGAACTTGAAATATGTATGCTGAGCCTTCCCAATTAGCTTTAAAATAGAAGGCCAAGCTTCCCCAGAAGGGGTGTATATGGGCCACAAACAATGACTAAAGTTACCATTCTTTTACTGCCTGTAAAGTACATGGATATTAACACTGAATAGTTGTTCAGTTCAGACAAAAATTAACTTTTCTAAATATTTGGAAATGACACTTAAGTTTAATAAGACAAAGGGAATTCCACTGCTAGCTACTTAAAAATGGCAAGGCTGTATCCTAAACCTTAGCTTAATTCTGATAAAGATTGACAAAACAGCCCAAATATCTTGATTTACTAACCAAAACCAAGTGACACTAAAGAATGTTTACCAAAGTCAACTTGTCTTCTCACCTGAGCACGGGGGAAGCGGGGAGGTGGAGTGCGGATCTTCCTGGCCTTGCGACTCCTGTTCCTCACCACCTTAGAGTGGATAGCACATGACACACAGTAATGTTGCTTGATGTACAGTTTGGGAAGCTGGTACACTGGAAAAATGGCAACAAATTTTACAACAAGTTTTCCCTACACTGTGTTACAGAATTAGTTATAGTCAATAATATACAAATCCAGAATAAGCAAAACAAATGTAAATAAAACTAATCAAAGAATTCAGCAACATAAGAAAAGTGCTGGAATATTTGTTTAGGTCATTTGATAACCTTGAAGATTGAAGAAAGAAGTAGCTACACTTCATCTCATGTACCACAACACCTGTATAGTGCACCCCATAAAATATTGTTACTTTTCCATTTTTAAATTATGAAACACTGGACGAAATGCTTTGATATATTCGCCAGTGCATCGTTATATTGGTATGCCTGCTCCCCATACCAGTAACAGTATTAAAATACAGGCATACAAAACATACCGTACCAACTATCCCAAAATTCATGGACCAAGACTGCTTACAGAAGCACGAACCACTCTGACCCCCAGGTAATGATACTTTTGGGGGCTGTTCACTAAACCTTACACATAAAACTGATTCATAGAAATAAATTGCTAAAAATGTACACAACATTGTAGAGGACAGAGCTCAAGTGAAGGCGTCCTGGATTTAGTTGTGGTTAATCTTCGTGTCCTACACACAGGCGCCAGCTACAGAAGCCGACGACTAAATCATGACACGAATTACCTTAACTACAGCTTTATTTTTAATAACCTTAAACATTGTATGCCAAATTATATTTCACCGTAACTAAACTTAATAAAAAATACCTAACTTACAACAGGATTTTGGAAGGACTGTACATAATCAATGGAAGGTAAAAATCATCCCAGTCTCCATCAAAAGGTTAAGGTATTTACCAGTGTAAACTGATGCCTCATTGATATCCTTAACTGCAGCGGCTTCAACAATGTTCCGGATTTGGAATTTTTTGATGGCCTTATCCTTAGGCACACATCGTCCACAGTTGGTGCAACGGACTGGCTTGGTGTGCCCCCGACCATGCTTGGATCGGCCGTTATTCCGGCGTTTGGAGGTCTGTAAAACACCAAGAGTGATATACTTCTAAAATTGAACTTACAAATGTGATCATACAACCTTTTTTGCAAAAACTTTCCAAATTACATTTTGTACACAACATTGTAGAGGACAGAACTCAAGGGAAGGCGTCCTGGATTAAGTTGTAGTTTATCTTCGTGTCCTACACACAGACACCAGCCACAGGGGCTGATGACTAAATCATGACACGACTCACATTAATCAGATTTACTACCAGAATAATCCTCAATATTCTATCCCAAATTATACTTGGATATTAATCTTTATCTTTTATAACTTAGTAGCTTAAGAAGATAAGAATGAAGAAAACTGTAGCAGGCCTATTGGCCCATACTAGGCAGTCCCGTTTACATCCAAACCCTATCGCTCATATATCCGTCTACCTATATTTGAAGCTATACAGCGCGGTCCAGCGAATTACCCAAAAGTTATTAAATCAGGGTAAAATCTTAACGAATATATGTTTTAGATCAATAAAACTGATTAATAATGTTTTCATTGAAATGTAGTCAAAATAATGAAATAATAAACAGCAAAAAAAAAGCTAAATTCCAAAGAGTCACCTATCCAAAATGGAGATATAATTACCGATGTTTCTGTTACTTTGGGGTATTTAACATAGCCGTAGGATTTACTTTTCGTTAGGTTAGGTTAGTGAAGTGCATCACCATGGCTCTGAGTTATCTCTCTTGTTCATGAACTCTTTGGAATTTATCGTTCACCAATACTGAAAGTTTTTCGCTGTTTATTATTTCATCTTACAAATTACACTAAAAATATTATTAGACATGTTTTGTGTATGTATAACAGATATTCGTTAAGATTTTACCCTGATTTAATGTACTTTTGGGTAATTCGTTGGACCCATACAGCGTGTTTGAGTTAATGATGTCTGGTAACTTGTTCCACTCATCCACTACTCTATTGCTTTGAGTTCATAATTGTATTTTCTACTCATGAATGAATTTCCCAAGTATTGTATCTTACCTATGACCTTTTACCATCGATCAAACAGTTTTATTCCTTATGAAATTTACAACAAAATGCACGAGCTCTACGTTTGGTCATAAATAACTAGTGTCTTCCATCTGGCGAGTTAAACAGTACGAGGATATGTTTATCTCGCCAGTTTCTAACAATAAGACACAATGTAGAGTATTTTATATTGAAAGTAACACCTTAGTCAAGAATACCATGTGTTGGCGTCCTCCCTCACACCCACGAGGCCTCACAACTTACATCTCACAACACTATTATTCACAACTATCTTCACACTTATACACACCATAACCTACTCTTTAGTTCCTTGTGTATCATCCTAACTCACTCAACACTGGGTCAACACTGTAACAAGAGGTAAAAGAAGTAATAGTCACCATTATGCTCCGAGTACAGCAAGAGTTTGGACTGAAAGACCGTCAACAACACGAGAGTGGAAGAAGACCGTGTGATGGTTCTCTTACTAAAACACAAATATTATCTAATTCTCACTTATATATATATCAATTATTTTTAATTTAAATTTTATTGTTTGATAAAAGGCTATTAAAATATATATTACTTTGTGTATTAAAGTTAAAGTTATGTATATAATACGAGAATGGTATTGTCCCATAGAAAATGCTCTGTGTTTTAGCAGTAACCAAGCTATTTATGATTTCCATTTATGTAATGTAAGACTTGGTTATATTTCTGGACGGATGCAGATAACCACAAAGAAATATTACCACAAAACTTTCAGATTTCTTTATTATCACCATAATACTTCAAAATTACACTAAATAAATGATAAACTCGTCTCTATTCTCGTGAAAATGTGCTTCCATAACATCACTATAACGATGGTGTTTCATTTTTCCTTATCTTAACATATTGGCCATTTATCAGCTTACGAGCCGTCTGGGCTGTTTATCCAGTGCTAGCACAGGAGGAAACCGGGGACCTGGAAACCTGTGGTAATTGGCAGGGTCACACTGGATAACACCTTCTTTATTTTTATATTAATGTATAACATTCAACACTTCTAGAACTTATCTATCATCTTTCTTACTTGTCTCATTTCCTGAAAACGTGATTACAGGCAATCACTTGGGACACCTGTGGGTTATTTCCCTTGTGCTTACCTGCATCTGTATGGATCACGTCACGCTTTTCAGAATTGTTTATATGTTGACAATTATTAATGTCACTTATCTGAAAGAGATTATAATATCTCTGTGTGACCCTTGGATCCCGTAGGTTTACTGCATATATTCCAGCCTCGTTGTCTATTTTTGGAGGTGAAAGAAACACTGAAATGCGTTGCTGCGTCTTTATTCTGTGGCAGCTGGTAAGGGAATGAGATAGACAAGGAGGGCGTTAAGGCTAGGTGTCGGCCTACTTCAGCTTGTCGCTCTTCTGAACTATTATAATAAGTGTCCTGAAGGCGTTACTGAAGTGAAGAGCGAGCCAAGGCAACAGCAGGATGAGGGCAAAGGTCATCCTCATGACCCAGTACTGGAAGGAATGGCTATAAGACATCCTGCTGACGAAGGCGGGGATGGGGAAGTTTATGGTGTAGGCCAGATAGCGGAACATGGCGGGGTAGGACAAGATGGGAATAATGTAGCCAATACCTGTGATGAGGGAGGCGGCCATGTGCTCGTAGTCCCAGTCCACTACAGCCAAGGAAGGTATGGCAATAAGACGCTCCACCTCCAGGCACAGCTCCTTCGTCTCCTTCACCGACCCGCTACACAAGTTGTACTTGTCGTCGATGCCCAGCAGCCAGCCCAGCCCTCGCCAGAAGTGGATCAGGCCAGCCAGCTCTTCTTCAGTAGCGGCTCCGGCTCCCATCTTCTCTGGGTGTGTCACTATGAGTCCCATGAAGGAGTACTGTGTGAGGGCCATGTCCAGCTGACTCATGTACACAATCGGCTTATCATTCTCTAAATAAAGTTTATCTTCAGCTACACGTTGAAGATCTTGGCGGATGACTTTATTTAGGGAGTTACTGGGCTCCTCGTGTCCTCTCTCGCTAACACTGATGTTCCTCACTTTCTCGTTGCAAGTTGGGGAGGAGTTAAAGCCTTTCGCTAACTTGTTGTGGGTGTAGCGGATGGACAAGATGTCCTCGTGGGCAGAGTCTTCGGGGGCCCAGACGTCTCCTGTGAACCATTTGATGACGTGAAGCATCGTTGAGAAGTATCGCTTCAGGGCTTTCTTGGGTGTGTCTGAGCGCCCCGTGTAAATGAGTGTTCGTAGTGATCGGCTGAAACTGAAATTCATTAGCAGCGACAACAACTCTGAAAAACACAGACTGAATAAGTATTGATGATAAAATTTACGACCTCGGTCAAACAGTTCCCGGTCGAGCCACTGTGGAGGGTGTGGGGGGTTGCCGGAGTCCCCGGGCTGATTGAGGCCCTCCAGCAGCTGAGTCAGCCGGGGAGACGGAGGGACGCTGCTGTTGAGGACGACCTCTGAGAGTGTAGTAGAGGCCGGGGAGGTAGAGGCCAGGTGGGGACATTCCTCCCTCAACTGGGCCTGGCATAAACCTCCGGGTGGGGGGAACATCACCCCAGCCTTGGCCTTGGTGGCCGGCTGCTCGGCCTCCTGGTGTGTGGGGGACGGCGTGGTCTCACCTGGGGAGATACAATAAGTAAAGTTACTCTAAATAAAAAAAATTTGTGAATATTTTATGTTAACACAAATGTAAAGGTGTGTGTGTGTGAGTGTGTGTGTGTAATAATAATAATAATAATAATAATTAACGGTTTATTGAAAAAGTTCTGCAGCCCGAAGGCTGAAAATATACATTGGGCATAAATGACTTATTACATACATTGGTGGTTTAACAAAAGCCTTCATTAGAGAAAGGTAAAGGAACATACAGTGAACATACAGATTAATGTAGGTGTTGAACAGCAAAAACGTAGTGTAGTAACTCCCTCCCAGATGGTGTTAGGAGGGACCTCACGTGGTGTAGTAATTCCCTCACAGATGGTGTTATGAGGGGCCTCACGTGGTGTAGTAATTCCCTCACAGATGGTGTTATAAGGGGCCTCACGTGGTGTAGTAATTCCCTCACAGATGGTGTTATGAGGGGCCTCACGTGGTGTAGTAATTCCCTCACAGATGGTGTTATGAGGGGCCTCACGTGGTGTAGTAATTCCCTCACAGATGGTGTTATGAGGGGCCTGACGTGGTGTACCTCACAGATGGTGTAGATGGTGTTATGCCTCACGTGGTGTAGTAATTCCCTCACAGATGGTGTTATGAGGGGCCTCACGTGGTGTAGTAATTCCCTCACAGATGGTGTTATGAGGGGCCTCACGTGGTGTAGTAACTCCTTCACATATGGTGTTATGAGGGGCCTCACGTGGTGTAGTAATTCCCTCACAGATGGTGTTATATGAGTGAGGTGTGGTTCCAGGCCTTCCTATCGTAGACGGATTAACACATCGCTGGTAGTTGGGTCTCACGGGCCGTTATCACTGGGTACCTGGGACCTCACTGTGTGAAAGGTCAACTTGGGTACCACTGTTACTGTCGAGTTGTTCTCACCGACTTAAGCACTGTTCACCACTGTTCACCTCTGTTTAACACTGGTTCCATTTCTTTCCTAAATGAAATAGTAACTTCTGGCGTGAACTTGTTGATATTCCGGTGGGGAGGAGGGTTCAGGGGAGGGGGTTGGTATGGGCCAACTTAACAGTTGACCTGGCTGCTCCGAGAGGAGCGCCAGGTACGTCTTGACCCTTCGGTGGTCAAGGATGTGTGTGTGTGTGTGCGTGTGTGTGTGTGTGTGTGTGTGTCTGTTGTGTGCATGTGTGTGTGCGTGTGTGTGTGTTTGTAATCTCTTTAAGGCTAAAACATACTCTCTAGTCTTAGTTAATATAAGTAATCTATCACTTGACACAAAATAAGGAGTGAAGGAGACATGTCTCTCATGGGAGAGGACCATGAGTGAGTTGTCCTCAAGGTGTCAACAGGTTGTAACCAAAGGGCAAAATATTCTCCCGCTTATATTTGTTGGGTCACCTGAAGATTAAACACCCCAGCTCATTTTAAGTGAAGACTGGACACCACACCGAGACTGGGCAGACACTGACTCTAATTCCCAGTTACAAGGAAGAGAACTATGAAACAATCACTATTATTTGATGTGTTAATTATCCTCATATTAGCTTGGAAAAATCATGCTAGATGTTTTAGATAATATTAATCCCGGATCACCATAATAAGACCGTCATAACTCAGTCGTGGGGTGACGTCATTACATGCCTCACCTGTGTTAGGCTGAGGGAGGAGTCGAGGCTTTTATCCTGAAGATGTTCCTGTTGGGTGTTGTGGTGGTGGAGGCTGCACTATGAATCACCTCCCTTGTCTGTCAGCGTGTCCGTCTGTCCTCAACACAAAGGAACCCGAAGAAGACAAAACACAGCTCTCATGAACCTGTCATCTCTGTTTACGTTCGCTTAACAACAGTTGGGTACTCTATAAATGCACAGGAAATAACTCTTGGTATAAAAAGTTTTTAATATTATGGAGTCGACATTACAGAGAGACTTTTTGCTTCTTTCATCCTGAGTTGATATATTAACGCACGAGTCTCCAGAGAACGAGACGGTGCAGTTGGTGATGACGGCCACAGAGAACAGACACGTCCTCACTCAAAGGAAGCTACAGGTAAACTGAGGCTCACTGAGCTGAGCCAGTGTTTGAAGGCGTGTAATTCCTGAACAATATTCCTCACTCTCCTTCTCCGTCCACATTCTTACAAGTTCCTGCGATATAAACTTTACTTGTCGTAACTAGTTGGCGTAAGCCTGAATTTAAAAAGAAAACGAACAAATTCTTTGCAAAATATTCTGGACTTAAGTTAAGGTAAATTCTCCATATAATTTGTTTGCAGACCATGCATGACCTTCAGCTGCGCCTCACGCGTTACACAACTGACCCACACCCTGCCGTTTACCCTCGCCGCCTCGGTTTATATTTCTTTATATCCCTGATTCTCTGGAGACTTATAAACACACGTAGCTGACTAACTAAAGCTAAAACACAAGAATAATACAAGTTTCTTAATATCAGTGGAAGAGTTATATGAAGATTAATGTTTTAGATGTGTGTTGGCAACTTTTCCTTTATATCAAGACGTTCAATATCAACCGCCAGGTGGAATGATTCGTTACATTAATGGGAAGTTCTGTATAATAGGCTCGATAGTACCCGGAAGCCAGGTTATGATTGGCCTTTTGAGTTACTTTGTAGTCAACAAGTGAATGCACTGAGTAACAAGAAACAAATATAAACTTTGACACTTGTATAGTTATTATGCCTTTTATCTATATACATATATTGAGTGATATATAGATAAATACATCAATGGTTTACTTAGTTATTTAAGCAGAATTTTAAACACAGTCTCACACACATATGTATAGATACTGGTTTTATTTGCAAGGCGGAATTATATATAGCATTTTAGAATCACAGCCTCTTTGAAATTTATTTTAGGTATATGTTATATTTATCAGATCATGTAATTATAGGTTTGGGTCAGTTGCTTCCTGTCTATGAGGTTGGTGTTTTGGCCTGGGGGAGATTAGCTGTGCAGGGAGTGGCTGGAGCCCTATCACCAAGGACAATCGTCCACCTGACTCACCTCTCATCACTGTGCTCGCCTGTTTCTCACCCACAAATTCTTGGCCCCCCCTCTCCCCCACCCACCGTTTTCATATTCCTGGATCTGCCCCTGCTACACCACTGGAAAACATATATTTTAACATATACAGATTTCACGCGTCAGTCAGTTGTAATTTCACAAGTCTACCCGACAAAATTCCCACAGAAAACGGTGACGTAAACAAACCAATTTTAAGTTACTTAATGTTAAAATATGACGCGAACAATGCAACTACCTATTTACCTTTTATTTTGAATAAGGACTCACTTAACCAACCAAATTTATATTAAAGGAAATGCAGTTAATCTGAATGATGAACAGCTTAATTCTAGTTAGTTCGATCATATTTGAAAAATTAAATGGTTGGTAGTCTTCGTTAAGTTGGTGGTACTTTGCTAACATATTGTTTAGCAGTCAAGATGGGTGACGTGTTAGTAGCGTTTGTGGATTGTCATTGGAAACACATCAATTCAAACTCTTCACACAAACATTCATTAGACAAAGGTACGTTATATTCACATTCCTTTATAATTTATAGATGGTATGAGAGTGTTGCTTGTTCTGTCTGTGCAATCTTTTAGAAATGAATTTCCCCTCGTTTCGTAATCTGTCATTGGGTATACCCAGCGCCTCAGGCCCCCCGACTCTAAGGGGCCCTCAAATCCAAACATTCTCGAAGTTGAAGCATATAAAACATGAACTTCGTTCAACGATGTCCTAGCAACGTCTCAATTTTCTGTCTCTTAAGAACATTGAATGTGTTATTTTGCAGAAGCTTAATATTGATGAAATCATTGATAAATTCTGGTATATTTTGTTCTTGCTATATATATATATATATATATATATATATATATATATATATATATATATATATATATATATATATATATATATATATATATATATATATATATATATACCTTGAGGGTAGGGGGCCCCAAGTTGATCTGTGCCTCAGGCCCCTATTAAGCTTAATTAGGCCCTGGGTATACCTGGAGTTAGGTGATATGAAGTGAAGTGAGGTTAAGCTCGGAGAAAAGGATGAATAAATTACGAGATACATAAGAACATAAGAATGCAGGAAACTGCAGTGGGCCTATTGGGCCTTACTGGGCAGTCACATTTACACCCAAGTTGGGTGAGCAATAGGGGTTGGGTGACCCAACCCCTATTGCTCATATATCTATCCAACCTATTTTTGAAGCTATCCAGCGTATTCGAGTTAATGATGATGTTTGGTAACTTGTTCCACTCGTCCACAACTCTATTTCCAAACCAATGTTTATCTATTTCGCGACTAAATCTGAATTTGTCTAATTTAACCTATTGTCTCGAGTTCGGTCCTGGTTGAATAGTTTGAGTACCTTTGTAATGTCCCTTTTGTTTACAAATTGAAAGACGCTGACAAAATTTCATTACTCGACGTTGGGTGTGTGTAGACCAGCTGACTGCAGTGGGTGAAGGGGAGGTGTAGACAGAAGGGTGTACATCAACATGTTCCCTCTATACAAGCAGTGGATACAAACGTACACATATCACACTTATCTACACAGAGTTATAAAGACACAAACACAGCATACTTGTACAAACACACAAAAACAACAATAACAACAATAATAATAAAAAATAAAAATAAAATTAATAATAATAATAATAATAATAATAATAATAATAATAATAATAATAATAATAATAATAATAATAAGTTAAGGCAACAGGTCTTCCTTGCATGTCTTGGTGACCTTTGATCCCTGTACTGTACAGCGGTCTTATGACCCATGACCCATGACCTCTATAAAATGACCCCAAATACACAATTCTACTTCTCTGAAGATCATTGTGTATGAACTACGTCAAAGTAATATTTTGCAAACTTTCACCTTAATTGTTGTAGAAAACATACTCATGTAAAAGTATTAAAAGGTCACGTAAACAATGTGAAGTAACAGACCGACTCACGAGCTTAACGAGTTTCACATTAATTGACCCGGAAATGAAACGGTGATGATTAAGTTGTAAATGTTTATATGATGAGAAAATAAGAGAAGAAACAATGGAGATATATCAGGACTCTCTCCTCCGTGGCGGACATATGTAAATAAACACGACTGATGAACCTCATCTTCAGTTTATTTACATGATCAGCTGAGCACTACTTCGTCCAGCCAGGCCAGGCGTTACCGTACACTGATGCGTTCTGTGGTACCAGACGGTCTTATTCTTGTTATCTTTATCACGTATATATATCTAGTGGACATGACTGTGTTGGCGTGGACATGACTGTGTTGGCGTGGACATGACTGTGTTGGCGTGGACATGACTGTGTTGGCGTGGACATGACTGTGTTGGCGTGGACATGACTGTGTTGGTGTGGACATGACTGTGTTGGTGTGGACATAATGATGGGAGGCTCTGGTTAATGGTACTGAAGAACACACACACACACACACACACACACACACACACACACACACACACACACACTCACACACACACCTTTACATTTGTGTAAACATTAAATATTCACAAATGTTCTTTATTTAGAGTAACTTTACTTATTGTATCTCCCCAGGTGAGGCCACGCCGTCCCCCACACACCAGGAGGCCGAGCAGCCGGCCACCAAGGCCAAGGCTGGGGTGATGTTCCCCCCACCCGGAGGTTTATGCCAGGCCCAGTTGAGGGAGGAGTGTCCCCACCTGGCCTCTACCTCCCCGGCCTCTACTACACTCTCAGAGGTCGTCCTCAACAGCAGCGTTCCTCCGTCTCCCCGGCTGACTCAGCTGCTGGAGGGCCTCAATCAGCCCGGGGACTCCGGCAACCCCCCACACCCTCCACAGTGGCTCGACCGGGAACTGTTTGACCGAGGTCGTAAATTTTGTTCCCGGTACTTGTTTAGTTTGAGCTTCTCAGAGTTGTTGTCACTGGTGTTGATGCTGAGTACCGAGAGAGCGCTGCGACCTCTCATCTACACAGGACAGTCAGACACTCCCCTAAAAGCCATGAAACGCTATGTCTCGACGCTGCTGCACATTGTCACTTGGTTCACAGGAGACGTCTGGGCCCCCGAAGACTCTGCCCACGAGGACATCTTGTCCATCCGCTACACCCACAACAAGTTAGCGAAAGGCTTTAACTCCTCCCCAACTTGCAACGAGAAAGTGAGGAACATCAGTGTTAGCGAGAGAGGACACGAGGAGCCCAGTAACTCCCTAAATAAAGTCATCCGCCAAGATCTTCAACGTGTAGTTGAAGATAAACTTTATTTAGAGAATGATAAGCCGATTGTGTATATGAGTCAGCTGGACATGGCCCTCACACAGTACTCCTTCATGGGACTCATAGTGACACACCCAGAGAAGATGGGAGCCGGAGCCGCTACTGAAGAAGAGCTGGCTGGCCTGATCCACTTCTGGCGAGGGCTGGGCTGGCTACTGGGCATCGACGACAAGTACAACTTGTGTAGCGGGTCGGTGAAGGAGACGAAGGAGCTGTGCCTGGAGGTGGAGCGTCTTATTGCCATACCTTCATTGGCTGTAGTGGACTGGGACTACGAGCACATGGCCGCCTCCCTCATCACAGGTATTGGCTACATTATTCCCATCTTGTCCTACCCCGCCATGTTCCGCTATCTGGCCTACACCATAAACTTCCCCATCCCCGCCTTCGTCAGCAGGATGTCTTACCGCCATTCCTTCCAGTACTGGGTCATGAGGATGACCTTCGGCCTCATCCTGCTGTTACCTTGGCTTTCGCTACGCTTCAGTAGCTCCTTCAGGACACTGGTCGATAGAGTTCAGAAGAGGAACAAGAGTAACAAGTCTTCCAGGTGTCCCTTCTCAAAGTGAGGGAAGACGTCTGGTGACTCCTCAGTGTTCCATCAGGAGTAGATCCTTCGAAAAATCTCTTCCAGGAGAAATGTGCAACTTAATTCATTGATAATAAAGTCTTAAGACAGTCTGTCGTGATCCGCGACTTCACCCTGACACAGTGTATGATGGAGTGCAGTAAGTTGATAGTCCATTGATACTGATAATATTGATCTGCGATTATGATTACGAGTATCTTCGCTACATCACATGTTTGTCAGCTGTAGTTATATAAAGTTTGTTCAATATCCTGTACATTTTTGTTTTCAGGGCATTATTCAGTAAGCAGAGAATATATACAAAAGGTTGTACTGTATATAAATTGTGAATGTGTATATATAGATCTGTATATTGGAAAGTCATTTTGTGAATATTATTTATCTGTATATTTGTATGTTTTTGAATACTACTAATTATTACCGAATTCCCTTCTCGGGGCTGTCAAAGGACAACTTTTATACCAATCAAAGAAGAGAACAAAATAAAACTGATATTTCCTTCTTCTCTTTCAGTTCATCTTAACGTAGTAGTACAGTAGTTCCTCGTATGTGCATCACTCTATCAAGAAAACCTATACCTATCAGGCCGCGCTGTTCCTTAGTTTAATTGGGTGTGTTTACCTCGTTAGAGCACTGGATCATACAGCAGCGTACAGGCTAGAGGATTTACAATGTATTCAAAGCTCTGTGACGGTACACGATATCAGGATCAGTCTATAATACTAGTTGGTGCTGTAATAACTGGAGTAGAATCTGTAATATCCAGAATTCTTTATTAAGGACGTTTCTCATAAATGATGTAATATAATCGTGGCTTTAACTAACGGGAATTGATTATTAGTAATATCATTGCATCCCCAGGCCAGGTTATCCTTGAAGGAATAATGCACCACCAACACGAGGGCGCATAACTATAAGCTCGCTAAGTAATGTAGAACGCTTGTAAGGAAATACTTCTTTACACAGAGGTTGACAGACCTATGGAACAGTCTAGCACTTCAAGCTGTGGCCATTAGATAAAATAAGGTAAAGCATTTGTTGTTATAGTGTTATTACTGAGCTTCAAGAACTAAGGCCTTAAGGCACGTAGCAAGGTTAGTAATACACTATTAAATAAACCATAAAATATTATGAGAGCTAGAACTCTCTACATTAGGTAAATCATTACAGTGCTTGCTAAGTTTATAATAGTTTACGTACTAAAATATAAATTTTCTGTCTGTATCATAAAAGAAAACGTGCATTGATCGATAATTTACAGGGTAACCATGAAATATTTTATATCTTATATCTTTACTCAGAACTTGACTTATGTGGGTATTACTTTATCTTATTCCTCACTGGTTGGCACTCCAGCTGGAGGAAAAGGAATTATATATTTAATAAAGAAATAAAAAAACATATCTAACGTAATTTAATCTAAGGTCACACACATTCCTACCCGATGAGTGAGTGTGTGTGCGTGTGTGTGTGTATGGCGACAGAAAGTGGTCAGGTAGACAGGGAAAAGGCATTATTATCATTATATAATATGGAAATAAAGAGTTAAAACTATACCTTATCGAAGCTAACTAAATCCACCTCGCTTATCGCGATCCGAGATACAGTAATTAACATTTCACTTTTCACCCTTTCTCCCTTACCTCTACTCAGTCTCCCACCCTCTCTTTCTCTCTCTCTCTCTCTTCATCATTCCCTCTCTTTCCCACTTCTTCCCCATTCACCTTCTCCTCCCTCTCTCTTAACCTCCCACTCTCTCTTTTCTCTTAAAGATTTTCCATAGTGAGAGGTGTGTGTGTGTGTGTGTGTGTGTGTGTTTATGTCGTCAAATAACACCGTGGAAATGATCTCGTTGAGAGTGACAGATTATTCATCCATCAATCCATCCATCGACTCAGTCATCCATCCATCCATCCATCCATCCATCCATCCATCCATCCATCCATCCATCCATCCATCCACATTACCCACAAAAACTGGTGGATACATTTGATGGTGTAGAGTCAAGGTCTATGCATACATATCACGTTATTTACATCATATAACACGTTAGGATCTCATTCCCTTTGTGACTCACACACACACACACACACACACACACACACACACACACACACACACACTCGCTTACACCTTCATTACAAAATAAATAAATAACAATTCATAAATTACAGAATAAATAACACTACAGAAAAACTCCAGAATAAAATTGGTGAAACATTTTGTATCGTAATCTCCCATCTTTCCCCCCTCCCCCTTCCCCTACCCTCTTCCCCCTCTCCCCCCTCCCCCATAGAGCTGATTACTGTATTTGCAAACAACCATTGAATGTACTGTGAATATTTACTGGATTTAATGTGTAGAGTGTGTGTGTGTGTGTGTGTGTGTGTGTGTCGTATCATCCAGTCCAGTGAGAAATTTTGTCGACACTGTCAGGTACTCGGGTGTAATAAGAGTGGCTGAGTGACAAGCTGCTTCGTGTGTGTGTGTGTGTGTGAAAATTTCGGCGAAAAAAGCACAGAGATAATTTTTAACACCGGTACGGATCCTTGTATGTAAATAGTGGTCAGGGCGGTGCTGTGTCCCGGTGAAGGTTTTGGGAAATAAGTCGAGGTTTTGTTGATGTTAGAGCGGTGGAGAGAGAGAGAGAGAGAGAGAGAGAGAGAGAGAGAGAGAGAGCTAATCTAACGTATCCTAATCCACCTCTAACCTAACCTAACCAAATTTCAGGTCCTGTTCTAAGTCCGGGTCCAGAGATGCTGTTGTTGATTTTGTCGTTGCTTTTGCTATTATTCGTGATTTTGTTGTTGTTATTGTTGCAGTTTTTGTTATTCACCATGTCAGTGATTTATCCCCTAGTAAATAAATGTATATCTTAACTGGTGTGTATTAAAGGATAATCCTTTATATATAACATCAAAGATAATAAATCAAGGTATACTGTATACTAACTGGAAATATGTTTTTTTATGCTTATTAACGCTGTTGTTGTGAGAATGTAAACATTTACTCGCCAACACTGACTATGAGATACGTACGTTAAGTTCTTTTGTTTACATGTGCGTTCGTGAATGTTGTGGTCTACTATCAGCATTCATAAGTAACTGATATATTTTTTTAGTGTAAAGCCTTAATAAAAACGAAATAAATTAAATATATCTACTGTAATTACTTACCTGAGAAACGTAGGATTCAGTATTGAAACAGCTGTGGTGTGTTGTGTTGAAGTTATGTGGACGTTTCAAGTTTCATATATTTCGTAGAAGGGACCACAAGAAGAATGGTACCCCTACCTTATTTCACCTGATGAATAAACACCCTAAGACTAACCTAACCTAATCTCTCGTCCCAGGTAGCGTTAGGTTGGGTGTTTAATCAATAAGTGAAATAAGCTGGGGTGTCTAAACTTCAGGTAATCTTATAAACACAACATCACTTGGTCCTCTCTCCGACACAGTGACGGCATCAATGACGTCACACTCACTGGAGGAGGACCATCCGTTACACAAACACTACAACAAGTCACTGACCTCCTCCTCGAGTTCTTCTTACCACTGACTCGTCAACAACACAGGAACGACCACTCTGATCTATGGAACAGTAATACCAATAGCTACAAACCTACTGTATTGTGGACAAATTCTTTCTTCGTAACTAAATATATATACGATACATTTCAACGACGTAGTTCTCTCTGTTATGTAGTTTAAGTAGTTACGATATTAATAAAGAGAACGTAACTGCAGACCTATACATATAACACGATCCGTCAGCTTCATACATCCCCCCTGGTGGTCAGAGTCGAAACTAAACACCCAATTATTATCGTGCCTGGGAACACACACACACACACATGTACCACCTATATGGAATTACGAATAATGACGAACATTAACGATTATGAGCATTATTACCCCCTCCCCCACGCCACCCCTCACCCCTTACCCCTACCCCCAACAACAAAAAAGTACTAAATCGAATTTTACCTGAAAATATGGAGATTAAATTATAGCTTTCAGCACTCTCTCTCTCTCTCTCTCTCTCTCTCTCTCTCTCAACCCCCCCCCATTGTGTCGTGCTGATGGTAATAACTCGTGATTAAATACGCCAGTTGTAATTAATTGATTATTCCGATGATCTGATAATTTAGAGCGGCAGTCAACGAAGCACAAATTACTAACGATTATTACTATGGCCTGTTGGTCCCTTTTGGGGCGGTGTGTGTGTGAAGAGCTGGTGTGTGTGTGTATGTTTGGGTGTGTGTGTGTGTGTGTATGTATGTATGTATGTATGTCACACCAAACCTGAGAGATAACAGCCTTTGACTCTCTCAGTATCTCGTTCAAACAAAACTTTTCTCATTCACAAAATGTAGCTGTTTCTCATTGGCTCCTGACGTCACTGTTTCTCACTGGCTCCTGACGTCACTGTTTCTCACTGGCTCCTGACGTCACTGTTTCTCACTGGCTCCTGACGTCACTATTTCTCACTGGCTCCTGACGTCACTATTTCTCACTGGCTTCTGACGTCACTGTTAGCTGATTTCTAGCTTTCCTCCGGCCCTACTGTAACCTCTCGTCATTATATCTTAAAAGCTAAAGATATAACGAACTTAGAAGCCTCTTTATGCAATTAGACCAAATTTCTGTTAAGAGTTTCAGACATTATGGCCATGTCTACAATGTCTACAGATGTTAGACACTCCCTATGGCCATGTCTACAATGACGTCGACAGTACCGGGTCTAAAAACATGGCGGATCCTAATGTTTACGTTTCTCCCCTCATCCGTGACGTCACTAGTTGCTGGTGTTATATAAGAGGAGGTCGAGAGGCTACACCACTTTAGTCTTTGTTTATCCCGTAATGGAGAAGGTCATGAAAGTGTCGGGTTACTCTTGATGATGCTTGTTATCTGTGGTAATTATAGCAATAAGTGGAGGGTATTTCTTTCTCTCTCTCTCTCTTTCTTTTTGCTCTTTCTATCATCTTTTTTTATTCGTCTTTCTCTTCTTCCCTCTCTCTCTCTTTTTTACTCTCTCTCTGTCTATGGTCACGCCAATATACTTTTATTTCACAAACTTTAATCAACTTTTTCTCGTTATTTTGGAATTAACTTTACATTGGTGTTTCTTTTCTTGAGAGATAGATGGTTTTCTTAGTTGTGTGTGTGAGAGAGAGAGAGAGAGAGAGAGAGACTGGTGGTCATCTCTGTCAGAATCAACCAAGATGGAGTGGATCGTCTCCATCTATCTTCCCTCGTTAACACTCCCTCCTTCCTCCTACTCTTCCTCTTCTTCCTCAACCCTCACCCACTTTATTTATATTCCTTCTATCTCACTCCGTGTTTTTCTCTCTCCCTATAGTCCCCCCCCCCCTTCTCTCTCTGCCTCGGTCTCTGTCTGTCTCTCTCTCTCCCCTCTATCTTTCTCTTTCTCTCTCTTTACCTCTCTGTCTATCACTTCTCAATAACTCTAACAGTAGTGAACTTAACCTAACC